CACGTACCCCCGCCCCTTCCTTTGGCCGTCGACCTGCCTCCATGTAGTGGGAGGCTACCCCCCCAGGCTGGTGGTGCGGCCGTTCCACTAGTCTAATTATTTATTTTATTTTATTTTATTTGTTTCTGATTATATTTTGTTTTCTTGTATTTTATCGCTCTGCTGACCCTTGGGGTCCATTTTATTTTGGTATACCTTTTCTAGGTACGTTAGCCTGTGACCACGGAAATTGGCCGAGTCAAGTGACGGATTAGTACGGAGAGATTGAGACAGAAGGAGGTACTGGATAGAGAGACCGGGATGGTTTTTAATGTGAAGATAACAACAACAACAACAACATCAAGAAACAGTGGCTAAATTTCACGAAAAACAACAAAAAAAAATGAAAGACACACAGCTAGCTCCGCCGAGGGTCTTACAGAACGAAGTCCACAAAACAATGAAGCCTGTGCTCGACGTTGTTGGCGGCGACAAAGAAATATTGCACCTCCCGTCGAAAAGCAATTAACTACTTCGAAGTAGATAACAAACCCCAACCGCATAATAATAAATAGACTATTCATTCTTCTTTGCCGCAGCACAACAATTAGACTATAACGGGATTTGTTGACAACGAGAAAGGAGTAGATTTACGACGCACGAAGTACTCGAAGCACCGCAGTAGTCGTATTTCGTAACTATCTGCGAGCTCGCACCACGTGCATTAATTAGTCCATGTACCCGAAGGTGAGCTTCACACGATCAAAATACATGTAGCTAATACTACCAAATACAGCGGGGTTTGGTAGAAGAAGCGGAAATTAGGGAGCGGGAGTCGTGCTCAACCACCGACCGTAGATTTTCTTCCCAACTTTCCCAACTAACTCCATCAACTCCCAAGTTGACGGGGAGTTGGGAGTTTCCGAGTTTCCCGAACAACCGGTAACAAAGAGAGCCTCGGTGCATCCCTAAAACCTATACTAATAATCCCGCTGTTGTTTTCGTCCGATAAAGATAAAATTGCACATTGATTGCAAGGGTCTCAGGAAATGTCGACTGCTTACTTTTGCTGATCCCATCACCCCCAAGCTACGCTGCCATGAAAATTGAACAATGCTGTGTTATCAAAGAAGGGTCAGCAGGAACACCGCACTCTTTCTCGTATGAGAGCAGGAAGATGACGCGTACGAAGGCAGAAAAGTCTGGATGTGCCGTTGAGCAAAAAAAAAAAGTTCGCGAACTCAAGAAACGCCGTGGGCGTTGCGTCCAAACCTGAGGAAAAATTGCGCCGCGTGCTTTTGCCATCGAGGGCATCTTCAGCGGCAAGGCTAACCACGAAGGGCAGGGAAATGGACACGCCGGACGTCGGCTTGTCCCTTCGCCAAGCAGTTGGGCGAAATGCAGATGGTATCGCTGTCCGGACACTCACAGCTGATGGCCGACAAGTTGCGACCGAGGCAAGTTGAATGGTATCTACGGCGAGAACATGTGTTACCCACATGTGTTCACCGCACACCCTGCCACGCATGTGTTCATGTTGATGCACTCGTGCTTCGGAGGAAATCTCGTGAAGATGAACCGCGCCTGCCTCTCCCCCTTTTCTGTTCCGCTGTGTTGGCCGAACAGATGAGCTGGGCTGACCTGCAGAAAGAGGTTGCGCTGCTGTCGCGATTCCTGACGCAAGTGCCAGGTCTCGCACCAGGCGTTCGACTTGGTGTCCTTGGACGCAACAGTGCAGAATACCTCCAGGTGAACAGCCATTTCGTACAACCATGTATGTTCTTTGGAGTAGCTTGTCCGGTCGTGCAGGCTACCTTGTTCTTGGGCACAATAGGATGGAGCGCGGTGGGCTCTGCTTTTCCATGATCCTACACGGTCAGCATATGTAGTACTGCTGTTCACATGCGAACAATGTGTAGACGTCCAGAGTAAATGGGATCCTATGATATGCAGACACCTACAGCAGTAGTATGAACTGCTGTAGCAAGTCTTGCACAGGGATCACGTGTGTTTGTTTTTACCCCGCTGTAGGACTGACGCCTTCTCATTGGTCAGTCGATGAGCACGGTCGATGCTAAGTGAAGAAACGCGCACGTAGTTGCAGCAAGCCCATACCTGCCGCGCAGCATTTAATCTCGTTCAGATCAAGTTCTCGCTTCCTCCTGAGCCGTTAGGTTTGTTCATCCAAACATGCAAACATCACACCGTGCTGTGTGCTGCGCTGGTGTGCACGAACAAGGCGGCGATAAGCTATTAAAAACACATGACAGGGAACTGCTTCATTGCACCAATTCATCTATGCAAATTGTGTAGACCAAGGCAGCACAACCGAGTTCAGCAGGAGTTGGCAATCTTGTCCTTGTCGCGGAATAACTTTACCGCTGTGTTCTCACCGCACTACTGCTGTACCATGGGTACTCACGATTGAACGATAGCCAGAGAGTGTAACGATACCACGAAAGTACTGTTAGCTCTAGATTCCGAGCGAGAGTCATTGGCAAGGCTAAAGTGTTGGACATGCTACGTTAGTGCAAATAAAGTTGTATGGTATGTACAGGTGGTCCGTTCCAGGCGGCGTTATGTAGTACTGTAGGCACAAATAAATGCACAGCGAGGCAAGCAATAAGCGTTGCCTTTGCGATTCTCTCAAGGTCATGATTTGCACCCTGCACACGTCTTTCCAGTCCACGCTCCTATATCGCGAACGAGAGATGATGCCTGTTGTTATCCACGTGATACGACAATTTTGGTTCATGCCTCTCCCCGACGAGCACGTTGCGCATGCCCAACGAGATAGATTTCGAAGCGGTCCTTCGAAAGTACTCAATCAAGTAGTTCCACCAAGGCAAACATGGGGATATTTGTCCGTTGTTGAGCAATCTACAACAGGTCCGACAATTGCCACAGGGTTGTCTGGTTCTAGGCATGATACACGACAGCCACCGAACGAGCGTGTTGTGTGCCCTGAAGAATTCCAGGTCAGTTATTCGTCGCAGCCAAAGCTCGTCATCTCACAAGTTAAGAAGTACAATTGTGTCCGCCTTTTGAAGCACACGATACACGTCTTGCTCACACACACACACACACCTGACAGGCCACCAAGCCTCGTGAGAAATATATCGTATGACATTACATCTCTGTTGCCAAGGATTCCCCCTAATTTTGTCGGCTTTCCTTCCGGCCCTCTGCATGCAGCTCATGTACGCCTGCGCCGACGCTGGTGTCATTGTCGTACCTCTCAACACTCGTTGGGCCATTGGCGAGTTGCGACATGCCGTGATGGACAGCGGCATCAAAGTCTTGGCCATCCTGGACTGTGAGTTTTTCGGTACAGCGCTAGATCTATGCACAGTCGCACCGGCTGCAGGTCGTGGCCCTTCGTGTCTGATGGTTGGACCTCAGACCTGTACCTCTTCCCCGACCTCTGTGGAGAGATCGGAGGTATCGGCATGGCGAAGAATTTCCGTTGGTCAGGGTGACGCTGAAAGGGAAGGGTGGCGAGGGGTGGACGATTCGCGAGGTGATTTCGTGCCTGCTCGGGCTGCCGAAGAGGGCATGGGAGAGCAGCGGCGGAGTGACGACCATGATTGTTGCGATTCCGCGCAAAGCGTTGGCGGTGCTACGCTTGAGGCTGAAGGCACACGAGACGTTTTCTGCATCGTGTACACAAGCGGAAGCACGGGCCGATCAAAGGGGGTGGCACTAACGCACGAAGGGCAGGTGAGATCAAGAAGTGGTATTGATAGCGAGGTGCTCATTTCTCAAGTTCATGCATTGTAAGGATGTGGCGGATGCGACGTTTTCGTCGACGATATTGACGACTTGGGCCGCACTCCTCAAGGAAAATAATCACGCTGGAAGCCACAGAATCAGGTGGAAATTCCCAGGCCAACAGAGAGCAAGAGCCGCGGTTCTTGAAATCAACCCTTTCGGTCGGAAAAAGGATAAACACCGCTGGCTTTGGCTCGATCAGACCAGCTGTGGGTTGGTTATTTTTGAATTCACCTCTTACGACAGACATCCAATAGCGACTACCGTCGTAGCATTTGGAGGCATACACCTGTGTTGAGCATCACATCATGAGCACACAAGCACATTAACAACAGCCAGTTGTGATATAGAGAGCAGTAGCGTACCATTGTCTGTGCCCTTCTGCCTGCCAGGGCCTTTCACAACGGGCTCACGCCTAACCTCTCTCCATATGATTCTTCCTTCTGGACTGTATGTTGTCGATTGGTGGTGTATTCAAGATGCACAGCAGAGAGTGCAAACACATGTCAATCATCTATCTGATCTGTATCACCATGTAGATGCCAGAAAAAACAAGCAGACACGCTGCAAACGTGCGAATGGTGCCGCGAGCGCGCAATAATGCCTCCAAAACGACATGAAACCCAAACCCCAGACAATCTCCGACAGGATTTGGCCCTGTTTATCCCAGCAGACCAGGCGATTCCGGGATAGCTGGGGTTTACTTTTTCAGATTTCCGGCAAGAAACAGCGCCATAAGGAGTGGTATGTCCTGTCGTCCTCACTTCAAACGCATGTTTCGTTTTTTTTTTCCTTCCGTAAAAGTTGATCTTGAGCTCCTTCCGTAGGCGATGTGGAAGGGAGCCCCAAGGTCGGAAGCAGTGTAAGCCCGCTGCCGACTGTCGGGGGTTCTAAGAAGAGAATGAGCAGGGCGGTGCCACAAGTGGTCCGCCCATTCAAGCCAGTAAGCGGCATTGATGGAAGATCCGAATCGTTGTCGGAACGCTTCTTTGCATGGGTTCTCTTACACTTGGGTGTGGTTGCGCATAGATGCTTCGCTTCCAAGATACCTGCCCTCCACGGGGTGTGGCAATCTATTCTCGCTTGTCGTGCCTAGGAAACAGTACGATGAATAGCTACATAGCCCGGCGCGACTGCTGTGAGGCTTTCGCAGGCGGCCAAATGATATTGCACGCGTTCCTGACGTTCAGGAGGATATTATTGCTTATCCCAACATCTTTGCCATTGCGTATGGCGTGCAGATCTGACAAAAGGACATACCGTGACCCTCAGTTTTCGGTTGGGTGATTGCGATGTGAGAGCACGAGAAGAGTCGGGGCAAGAGTCGGGGCTGAAAGAAATGCCCACTCGACCTACCTCACGCAAAATCCTGATCGTTCTCTCTCCCGTCTGCATCTTTAATCCGCATTGCGTTCACTTTTCTCGGTAGGTCTTTCAAGCCGATGCGAAGTGCGTCCAGTTGAACTTCACATCCTCGACCACCTACCTCAACGTGCTGCCATTGTTTCACGTGGGTGGCATAAGTGCTGCTCTCGCTGTAACTCTGGTCGGTGGGTGCCACGTTTTTGTGCCGAGATTCGCTCCCGGGTGCGCCGTTGCCGCCATTCAGGCAGGACGCGTAAACTCCATCGTAGTGGTTCCTACCATGCTGCACGTGCTGGTCAAGGAAGCGAGCAGCGAGTCGTCAACCTCAGACGACACGGCGCACCCACTAGCAGCCATCGACACTGTTGTAGTTGGCGGGCAACCGATGTCTGGTCGCTTGGAGCGTCTTGCGCGAGGTTGCATGCCCGGCGCCAGGTTTGTTCAGACTTACGCGTGCACGGAAGCAGGTTCCACCATCGCGTTCGCTTTCTCCCCACCTCTTGGTGCATCTCAGCGCGACCCTAACGGAGGATGTGGGGCGAAATCCACCGTACCAGAGCGAGCGCACGACTTGTGGGCCACGGCAGGAAGTCCTGCTGAGCATGTGGAGATCAGGGTGGTAGAGCGGGGGCCGTCAGACGGCGCCCACCCCGCGCGTCCTGCTAGCGCAGGTACTGTCGGAGAGGTGGAGACGCGCGGCCCCCACGTAATGAAGGGCTACTGGAACAGGCCGGATCTTACCGCCGAGGCTATTCGTCCTGATGGCTGGTTGCGAACCGGTGATCTTGGCCGCCTCGATGAAACAAGTGGTCGACTCATGATTGTTGGACGGGCGAAGGACGTGATTAAGACGGGGGGCGAGAAAGTCCACTCCAGTGAGGTCGAGAGTGTTTTGTTGAGGCACGTTTGGGTTGCGGAGGCAGCCGCGTATGGCGTGGATGACGAGCGATTAGGGGAGAAGGTAGCGGCAAGCGTGGTGTTGGACGATGCTGCTCAGGACGATGAGGGGGCTATTACTTGTGATAGAGCTAGGGCAGTCTTGGATAGGTTTTGTGGGCTACATCTTAGCCCCTACAAGCGGCCACGGCAGATACACGTTGTGCCGGCGCTGCCTAGAAATAGTGCAGGGAAGATCTTGCGGCACATGCTGCGAGCTTCCTTGTGATGAGAGACGTATTGAGGGCAAGCATACCAATTTGGAAGCTTTGCAGCATCATTGCTCTTGATGAACGGTACGTAAATGTACGCTTCAAGACATAGGTCTTCCATGCGGTACAAGGGATACAAGTTCTGGGTACAATGTCCAGTCCTTACATCTTTCGGCACAAATCTGGAAATTTTGGACGCACCAGCCGGGGTCATACTGGAGGCAGGCTACACAAAAGGTGTTTCTCCGCCTTCTGCGTTGCTTGCCTCGATGTTTATCGCTTAAGGATTCAACCATTACTTCCCCTCGTCTTTTTTTGCGTGGAAACGAGTGATCGCTTTCCACCTTTAGACTATTTGTTTGGGGCATATTGTGAGAAAGATCCCAGTTCGTGTGACTGCACCGAACACCTCGGAGGTGTTCTTACGCTTGGTTTCATTCATTCGTGAGTAGTCTAGATGTTAAATTCTATTGGGGGTTGGCACCTCTTACTGTTCGTGAACATGTCGAACTGACGATAGGGGTGGCTCTGAATCCAGCTCTTTTGGTAATTTTTCGTGGCTACATCAGACGCTGCGTTTTTGCGGAGGATACACCGGATATTTCACCCGACACTGCTGTTCAAGCTATGTGACCGAAAGGAGTTCTGTGGAGGTACCTAGTTCTAGTTCTGTGATCGCCTTCAAGCTTTTGTGGCTGTGGGGCAGGTGGGGTCTTCGGCGCAATCCTGACGTCATACCTTTTCCCTGCCGTAAGCTGTATGCTCTCAGTATTGCCTCCGGCCTCTCTTTTGTGCTTTTCTTCTTTCTTTCTTGTTCTCCATGCCCTCTCTACGATGATCTTGGACGATACCTCGAGCTCCTTGTTATTTTTGTTTTTTCCTTTGCTGGCTGCCTGCCACCTCTGCTGCCTCTTTGGTGCGGTGCCTACCCTACACTAATGTGCTGGTGCATCTGCACTGCTGTAGTACCTGGTACTGGTGTACGTTGTCCTTCGATTTTTTATTTTTTTGTGGGAATATATATGTGTTTGTTTTTCGCCCCCCGTCTTGCTGCACCCCCTGGGGTGTGGTGCAGGGCGGGGGATGCCTGGTCGGCGGGAACCCGGCACGGAACCCTCCGGCGTTGTAGGCGGGTGTGGGAAGCGTTCCCCGTTCTCCTTTTA